TACCAAATAATGTGTTCCACTAAGATATATGAGCTACTTATGCTGGTTATTTTTATTTTATTCTTTTCATGATCTTTTTAAAATGCTTATTATATTTTCTCAGAGATCCTCTTATTTAAGACTTGATGTAATTTCCAAACATGACGACTATTTTCCACTGGAGTCCTCACTTGTTTCTCTTCTCGCTGTGTATTTTAGGTGACGTGTCTGTCCTGTAAGCACAAGTCTAACACAGTGGAGCCATTTTGGGATTTGTCTTTGGAGTTTCCAGAGCGATACCACAGCATAGACAAAAGCTCAGGCTCTACAGCTTACCAGCGCAGCTGCACCCTCATTGAGATGTTGTCCAAGTTTACCGAGATGGAGGCTCTCGAAGGCAGCATCTATGCCTGCAACCACTGCAACAGTAAGTATAATTATGCAAATAAGTACTATAATAAGGACATGAGTGTCGGAGTGAGAATGACATGAATATACCTTTTTTTTAAATTGATAGTCTTTTCACAAACTCTGATATATTTTAAGGAAGTATGTCACCTTAATGTTAAACAGAGCATTGTAACTTAAAGACAAGAATGACCTGTTTTTATTTAATTTATTCAATTATATTTTTGTATTTGATTTTGATCTTCATCAACCATAGTCAGAAGAGTTTTGATATACAAGAACTATAAGAATGCCATGTTTGATTCTTATTGTAACCTTTACAACTAAAACAAAACCTTATTATAAGGATATGCATTTGAATGGATTAGGGAATTCATTTACCATCTCATTGTTTCATGATTTGTCAGAAAGAAGGCGGAAAACATCCCACAAACCCTTAGTTCTGTCAGAGGCTCGTAAGCAGCTTCTGATCTACCGTTTACCTCAGGTTCTACGGCTGCACCTCAAACGCTTCAGGTAAGTGTCTACACAGGCTGATTTTCTTATAATAATTACTGCAAATTAAATGACCCAGTCTTGTTTATTGATGTGTTTTATTTTTTAGCTGTAATCAGAGTGCTTAATGTTCTCTATGGTGCTTGTGATGCTTACTCCTCCCTGTTGTATGGCAGATGGTCGGGGAGAAACCATAGGGAGAAAATCGGCGTCCATGTGGCCTTCGACCAGGTTCTGAACATCAAACCGTACTGCTGCACAGGCTCAGGTCACCCCGTCCACAGAGGAGGCTACACCTACGATCTGTCTGCTGTTGTTATGCACCATGGGAAAGGCTTTGGCTCAGGGCACTACACCGCATACTGCTACAACACAGAAGGAGGTGAGGAAAAGAACACCCGCAACCTATAAACATTCAAAGTCTTAATTTCTTCTGTTAAACATTTCTTGTCTTTGTATTTTCAGGTTTCTGGGTCCACTGTAATGACTCTGAGATGAAGGTGTGCAGTGTGGAGGAGGTGTGCAACACTCAGGCCTATATTCTCTTCTATACCCAGAGGTCTGCCTAGGTACCTCTCGCTGTGATGTCGACCTGTATCGGGCAACTTAAGGCTGCATTTATGAACATGTTCTCTGAAGTTTCCCAGATGACATTTAACAATCACTTTGAAGTAAATTACCGAAAGAAAAAGATAGTAACGGGGGCCCTAGGACAGCCACAATTATGTTTAGGAGTAAAGGTGAACATTGAAGCATCCAGATGAGAAAGACACTGTAATAAAGACAAGCTAGAAAAATCCTTGAAATTAGAAACATTTAAATTAAATGTTATAATGGCTGGTTTTTGATTATGTTCCAAATCCAAAACCTTTTTAAAAACTAGGCCTGAGGTTTCTCGGCCTGCGGGACCAGCATAGCAGTTTACTATCCTGAAAACTGTGTGAGCGGTCCGACTCTGTCCTGCTGAACGCCATGTTGTGTGTCCGTGTTTTAAAACCCATCAGGCTCGTGTCTGTTGAGTCTGTGGCCCTCCTGAAACAGCATTATACATTCAAAGGAAATGCATGATCTGGATTTTAGAGCATTTTTATCACAATAATGTTGTCAATGTGCCTTTTTATATGTAACTGTACATTTAATAGCCAATGCACTAAATCAGGGATGTCCAAACTACGGCCCGGGGGCCAAATGCGGCCCGCGGACCATATTGAATCGGCCCTCAGCAAATTCAAAAAGTATAATCGAATATGGCCCACAAACTTTTGCTGTTCTTATCTTGTACTTCTTAACTGTATATGTACAAATATATTACACAGTAGTATTTGTATGTTAATAAGCCCATTTTTCAAATAAATTCAGTCGATTTAAAGTTGGAAACATTTTCTAACAAATCTAAGTTGATAAGAAAAAAGCCCAGTAACTTATTTACATAACCAGTTTGAAATAGACCCTTTAATATTTCCTTTTATTATAAGCAATCTGAGGCTTCTGTTTTAAGGGATGAGCTGCCAACACTTTTTTTAACAAAATAAATGAATTTACCTTCATTTGATTGATTTCGCTAACTTATAACTGAACTTATGAGGCAATATACCTCACCTCTAGCGAGTGGCCCAGCCCTTCGTATATTTTTCTGTATCTGGCCCTCGGTGAAAAACGCAACCCTAGCGCCTCTTTACGAGAGGCGTCGTGCGGTACGGAGTCGCAATATGTTGGAAGAAAGATGACGTATAGTTCGGTTGAAAACAAATAATGAAGCCGACAGCTCACAACACACACAAGGAGTCCTACTCAAAGCGAACAAGGGCGACCAGGTAGACATAGCGATAGTGCGTTCGGGATAGACGAGGAGTGTCGTTGCTGTCGACGTGCAGCGTACTGGTTAGTCTCTGTGACCCGAGTGTTCCCTCCCCGTCCGTCGAGTAAGTCGTCGGCAATCCTGTATCTCACTTATGACCCACTATGTGTGTCTACTACGACATACTCTTTGGCTACACCAAACCTTTAACGCTCATATTTAGATAAAATCATCTGGAGTTGTTACCTTGATACTAGTCATTTTACCGGTACTGCTACCCAGAAAAATTACTAGGTTGACTGTAAAGGTAATATTTTTTTTTTTTCGACCCGCTGTGTCTCCGACTGCGAAATCAGTCGATCTATTTAAGTAAATTAACCTGGAAGTGTACTACAACTTGCTACATGGAGAATATCATATATCTCGTCCCG